GGTTGAGTAATATTCGCCCTTCGCCTGGGCCACCACCAGCCAGGTGCCTGATATGCCAGAGCGAACCGAGGCGCCCGATGATCCCACCACCTGCGATCACCCACGCGTTCTACCTCTTACCGACGTCTGACTGGCTTTCTTCTTCTCTCTCGCTCGCAGGACCCTAGAAACAACGGATTCTGGCTCTGGAAATGGTTGTGTAATTGGACTTCCAGCTCACCAACAATGTTACGCGCCGTGGAAAAGAAGATATTGTCGTACGTGAAGCTGCCCTACCGGGGCTTCTTCGTCGACATTGGCCCGGCCGTGGGCGAGGCGGACAAGATCTGGACGATCAGCATGAACACAGAGTCCAAGGAGGTGCCGCTGGTGCTGCTCCACGGACTCGGAGCCGGCATTGCCCTGTGGGTAATGAACCTAGACGCGTTTGCCAAGGGCAGGCCCGTTTATGCCATGGACATCCTCGGATTCGGACGCAGTTCGCGGCCGCAATTCGCCAAGGATGCGCTTGTGTGCGAGAAGCAGTTCGTCAAGTCGGTGGAGGAGTGGCGCCGCGAGATGAACATCAATGACATGATCTTGCTGGGCCACTCGATGGGCGGCTTCATTGCCTCCAGCTACGCCCTTAGCTACCCGGAGCGGGTGAAACATCTGATCCTGGCCGATCCGTGGGGCTTCCCCGAGAAGCCCTCGGAGGCTGCGATCAACGGCAAGCAAATACCGCTCTGGGTGCGGGCCATAGCTAGAGTGCTGACTCCGCTTAATCCGCTGTGGGCCCTGCGTGCCGCCGGCCCCTTCGGCCAGTGGGTGGTGCAGAAGACGCGGCCGGACATTATGCGCAAGTTCCAGAGCACCATCGAGGAGGACATCAACCTGCTGCCACAGTACATACATCAGTGCAACGCCCAGCATCCCAGCGGCGAGTCCGCCTTCCACACTATGATGCAATCCTTCGGCTGGGCCAAGCACCCCATGATCCATCGCATCAAGGATGTGCGCCGCGACATACCCATCACATTCATCTACGGCTCCCGCTCCTGGATCGACTCCTCCTCTGGCGAGAAGATCAAGTCGCAGCGCGGCAGCAACATGGTGGACATCAAGATTGTGACGGGAGCCGGCCACCATGTGTACGCCGACAAGCCGGACGTCTTCAATCGCTACGTGAACGAGACCTGTGATATCTACAAGGTGGCCGGTGGCAAGCTGCTAACGCCCCTACAGCTCATCCGCGAGTCCACGGAGTCCGACGAGGAGCGCGAGCCCAACCTGAACACAGCTAAGACGGTGGAGGTCCAACCGGAGGTTCAGCCGGTGCCTCCCACCGTCGCCGATTCCAACACATCCGCGGCGCAGGTAGACGAGCTGGCGACCAATATCAAACCGAAGTGAGAGCAGAGGAGCTTGGAGCCTGGATCGAGACCCTAGTAGCCTGTATCTATTAGCTTAGTGTCTTTGCCTAGTATTAAATCGTCATTATATCCTTTCACCCTCTATTTTTACCCCTAGAATAAAGTCGAACTTGGCTGAAACTGCAACAAACCAATAACTGGCACATTCTTATTTATGTTCATTGAGATTTCGAGTTAAGCAAACACTGCGCATGGACTAAAGATTAAATAAATAAATATATATTTGTTACAAAACCAATTTGAGTTTGGATTTTAGTGAGTCTCGTTAACTTTAATATAAACTAATATATTTTTCTTATTTTCCTTAAAGACTGCATATTATTTCACCCTTTAAGGTATTCAAATTTTGAAGTACTTTATGGATTGTTCTGGCAACAAAGTTTACTTAATCGTCGGCTCGCTTTTGCTGAATCACTTGGAGTACAAAGGTTACTCCGCGGGCAGAGTCACCGCTCTTAGAGATCCAGCTGCGCCGAAAAGCTCTCTACGAATGCCGCTGTTGGGTGGGTGGGTGCATGCGTCAGAGTTGACATCGATCCGGAAGAGACCACACGCGTCAGTTGTTTTCAATTCTTTCTTCGTATTCATGGGATTTGATTGGGTCTAAGGCTATCTCGCAAGGCAGTAGCGCTTAGCTGATAGGCGGGGTGCAAACAATGGAATTATGTAGGTGAAATCCAGGACAGGTTTAGCTTAGCTTGGGGGTTCATATACTATGTACCTCTGAAGGGGTGTTAAAGTGTACAAATATGTATATATATTTATACCCTTGCAGGGTATTATAATTTCAGTCAGAAGTTTGCAAAGCCGTGAAGGAGACGTTTCCGACCCTATAAAGTATATATATTCTTGGTCAGCATCAACAGGGGATCTTTCTAGATATGTCCGGAAGAAATCGATTTTTTGGCCATTTTTGCAAAATTTTATAAGGTTACATCATTAAAATTTTTGTTTTTGATAAAAAATTGAATTTTCAAAATTTTAAAATGAAGTCTGCAGATTTATTAACTGCAGAAAATCTTGCACAGAACAGTTTTCCGATTTAAAATTAATGCTCTATTGGCCGAGTTATGATATTTTTAATTTTAAAAAAATCAAGAAGTTTTTTAAAATAAAAAATCCGATTTTATAGTACAAAATAATATTTTTCTAAGTCAAGGAATCATTTCCGACCCCATAAACCATATATATTCTTGATCAGCATCAACAGGGGAATCTTTCTAGACATGTCCGGAAGAAATCGATTTTTTTTTGCCATTTTTGCGAAATTTGATAAGGGGTTACATCATTAAAATTAGCAAAAATGGCCAAAAATTTTTATTTCTTAAAATTTTAAATTTGGTAGGCAGTTTTTTTAAATTAATAAAAACTTAAACAAAACTGCTTTCCGAATCGAAATTAATGCATTTTTGGCTTAGTTATGATATATTTTAATTGTTAGCTTTCTTTCATGTTTTTAAATCGTTTTGTACCGAATTAACCATACGTATATATCCAAATTAATGTATAAGTTATTAGTACATTTCTATAGTGCAATTTTTGTTTTAAATAGTATTTACTTAAGACTTTTTCCTCTCAAAAAAGCCATATAAATCTTACCCAAATAGCTTTGATTAAACTATAGTCGGCTATTGAAATAATCCATATTGTTTATTACCCCTTGTACTTTATATGACTCTGAAAATGAATGAAATGTATAGTGTATATAAAGAACAACTGCTCTTCTATTAAAACAAATGCGAAATTTGTGGAAAAGTGTAATTAAACAACAGTGAACGCGGGTTAGTCCAGGGATTTGTTATCATCTGCCTGGAAGCTCAAGCTTCGCTTTGTTTGAATGTATCATTGTAATTATTATATATAAAACATACATTATACAAATTAATTGGGTAAAAAAGCACGACAACAAGACCGTACACTCAGTTCCAGCCTCGACAATGGTCATGACAAATAGGTTGTACATATACAGACAGACCTTATCAAATCGCAAACCAAGCTAAAAAAAAAAGAAAGAAAGAAACATAATATTCAAATGATAAGTAAGTAAAAAACAGACACAAACAACTCGAAATGAAACAAAGAAATCGTTCAGTTAATACATATATTCCGTTGCTTCGGCAGAGAAAGTCCCTAGAGGAACCAATAAAGTTTACAATTCAAAGTATAGACATAAAATATCTTTGTTCGATTATTTGGCATCGGCGAAGCCCACACGATCGTTGCCCATGTCGAACTCGGTGTAGTATTTGCCAATGAACACGTCGCCCAGGATCCAGAGGGGACCATTGGGCGGGGGAATGTCCATGCCCATGAAGCCCGACAGGCAGATGGTCTTGCCCATTTGGGCCACGCGCAGAATGTAGTCCTTGCCCTCCAGCTCAAAGGTCTTGCCGCCCAGTACGAATTTGATGACCGGCAGGTTGGGGATCAGGTCGCAGGACACAACATACTGCAAAGACAGGATAAATGTTACACTTTCTGGACATTTCTTAGAATTGAATTCCTACCTGTCCACCAATGATGGGGGTGCCTCCAATTTTCTGGTTAATCGAGGTGGCCTCGGACAAAGGCGCAGCAATCAGCGAGGTGCCAGTGTCGGCAATCACCTGGCAACCGCCCTTGCACAGCTCCAGTTCACCCAGAGAGGCCGAGTCCATCTTGATCTGCCAGTAGCCCTTGCGGGTAACCGGCAGATAGGTGAAGTCACCGTTGTAATGCTTGGGATCGGAGCCGCCGAAGATGATCTCTCCGCCCTCGGGTCCGGCTGGGTCGCGGTTGAGGTAGAAGGAGAACACCGGCGATGAGATCAGACCCTGCTCGTACATAACGTAGAACGGCGGCTTCACTTGGTCCACGGAAATGGAGCTGTAGCCCAGGCCCAGAATGCCATCAAACTTGGCCGCAACAAAGACCAGACCTGGCTCGCTCAGTGCCTCGGCAAAGGTCTGTCCCTTGATGTCCAGACCACCAATGGAGACCGTATCGGTAGACAAGTAGCCAGAGAGGCTGCCCGAACCGTAGTGAATGTCGAAGGCAGTGCCGTTGGCGACGTACGTCTTTGACTTGGTGGCATCGTACTTGTTGTGCATCAGGCAAGCGATGTTGGTCAGGTGACACTTCTTAGAGGGCACCCACAGGTTAGAGGAGCCGGTGTCGAACACCACACGGAAGTTCTGCGGCGGAGTTCCGATCGAAATGGGTCCGTAGTACTGGGCGTCCATGTAGTTGGACAGTGGCTCCGGCACATCGCCGCCGCCGCCATACTTGATGCGCAATTGCTGCAGCTCTGTGCCCACATCGGCAAAGTGGCGGCGGGCGGTCTGGATCTTCTCCAGCGGCACTCGCAGCAGTCTGGGGCTTGACGCGGCCGTGGCCAGGGCCAGCAGGCAGGCGGTGACCAGCAGCAGTGGAACCTTCTGCATCTTGGGGTATGTGTATTTGCTCTCGACAGGAACTGCAATGATCTGCACTTAATTAAATATTGCGGGGACAGCGAAAATGATTCAGCAGTAGTGTGGCTGCCGGTAATTTCACTTGTGCCGTATTTTCGCTTTGGTCACACTTCAAAAGTATAAAAACAGCTGATAGGGTTGTCACCCTCACGTAAAATAATGTACAATATTGTCTCCTATTGGCGCGAATGCTTAAAGATTGTGAGTTTATCCGAAATACTTAAACATTAATTCATAATTTCTAGTCGTTACAGATCACCCCGCTGCACACTATGAAGCGGGCCAAGGCGGCAAAAGCAGGACCCTCCAAGAAGGTCGCTAAGAAGCAGGATAAAAGCCCCAAGAAAGAATCCAGTGACCAGGATTCGAGCGGCGGCAGTGGTGTTGAAGAACCCTCAATCTCGAAGGTTCCCCTGTCCAAACCTGACTACCATAATCTCGAGCAGTTCCTCGCCCACCTAGAACACCAGCGATCCGCCACAGCAGCCAATATCCACGAGTTCCCATTCCGTAAGAAGCGGGTGCGCGTCCTGTCCAAAAGCGGCGATGTGAAGGAATCCTGCCAGGGCGGCGTCGTCTACTGGATGTCGCGCGATGCCCGAGTGCAGGACAACTGGGCCCTGCTCTTCGCCCAGCGCTTGGCCCTGAAGCTTGAGCTGCCGCTGACCGTGGTGTTTTGCCTGGTGCCCAAGTTCCTCAACGCCACCATACGCCACTACAAGTTCCTGATGGGAGGCCTGGAGGAGGTGGAGCAGCAGTGCCGCTCTCTGGACATACCCTTTCATCTGCTCCTAGGCCCTGCCGTAGAACGGTTGCCCGAGTTTATGAAATCCCAGGACATGGGAGCTGTGGTCTGCGACTTTGCCCCGCTGCGTCTGCCCCGCCAGTGGGTCGAGGATGTGGGCAAGGCGCTGCCTCAGAGTGTGCCCCTGGTGCAGGCAGATGCCCACAACGTGGTGCCTCTATGGGTGGCCTCGGACAAGCAGGAGTATGCCGCCCGCACCATTCGCAATAAGATTAACTCAAAGTTGGATGAGTTTCTCACTGAATTTCCGCCGGTGATCAAGCATCCCCATGGAAAGGGCTGCCAAGAGGTGAAACCCGTGGACTGGCCAGCCGCCTATGCCTCGTTGCAGTGCGACACGGACGTTGGCGAGGTGGAGTGGGCCAAGCCGGGCTACAAGGCTGCCTGTCAGCAACTCTACGAGTTCTGCAGCCGTCGCCTGCGGCACTTTAATGACAAACGGAATGATCCCATGGCGGACGCTCTGTCCGGCCTCTCGCCGTGGCTTCACTTTGGCCAGATCTCCGCCCAGCGCTGTGCTTTGGAGGTGCAGCGATTCCGGGGACAGCACAAGGCCTCGGCCGATGCCTTTTGCGAGGAAGCCATTGTTCGCCGCGAGTTGGCGGACAACTTTTGCTACTACAACGAGCACTACGACAGCCTGAAGGGTCTTACTGCTTGGGCCTACCAGACCCTAGATGCCCATCGCAAGGACAAGAGGGATCCCTGCTACAGCCTCGAGGAGCTAGAGAAGGTATAGTGCAGGACAGTCTCGTCCTGGTATTCATAACATTTCCCTTACCTTCCACAGTCCCTCACCTACGACGACCTGTGGAACGCGGCGCAACTGCAGCTGGTTCGCGAGGGCAAAATGCATGGTTTCTTGCGCATGTACTGGGCCAAGAAGATCCTCGAGTGGAGCCCCACGCCGGAGCAGGCGCTCGAGTACGCCATCCTGCTGAACGACAAGTACAGCCTGGACGGGCGCGATCCCAACGGCTATGTGGGTTGCATGTGGTCCATCGGCGGCGTCCACGATATGGGCTGGAAGGAGCGGGCCATCTTCGGTAAGATTCGGTACATGAATTACCAAGGCTGTCGGCGCAAGTTTGACGTGAACGCCTTCGTCATGCGATACGGGGCCAAGGTGCACAAGAGGAAGTAGAAGGAATAAACTGTTGGTTTTCTTTGCCTTTGTTTTGAATGCAAGCCAAGAGCATTTTTGTATTTAACCGGAGTTCCATGGAGTGGCTTTAGAAAATATGACAAAATTACAGCTAGCGGGACAGAACTCAGTCCTTCTCGGCGATCTTGGTGAGGTGCTCCTCGATCTCCCTCTCGTCCAGGATGCGGAATTTGGGATCTGTCTTGCTGACCACGCCAATCTCAATGCCGTTGGGCTTGAAGTCAATGGCCAGCACGGTGGACAGACAGGTGATGGCCAGCTGGATGGCCTTCTCCTCGGACAGGTTGTTCTTGTACTTCTTCTCCAGATAGCTGTTGGCCTCCAGCGACTTGGCGCCCACAGAGCAGGCGCGGAAGCCGCTGTAGTAGCCAGCCGGGTCGGTCTTGTAAACACTGGGTCCAATCTCGTCGTCGTAGGCGATCAGAACCATGCTGCAGCCAAGAGGACGCATCTCGGCGTTCTGGGTGTACACCTGGTTGATGTCAGCGATGCGCTGGCACAGCACATCCACGGGCATGTCGTAGCCGTACTTGTAGCGGAAGTTAGCGGCCTCGTGTCTGGCTTTCTGGACCTGCGACCGGGAATCGGCTAAGGAAGAGGATAGCGTAAAGTTGAGGTACAAGGTGCACTTAGGTTCCCTAAATTAACTACCCACCTATGCGGCCGGTCATGGCGCAGCCAATGTCGCTGGTCACACGGAACAGGTGAGTTACGCTGTCCGGCACAATGTTTTTCTCAGTCACCTTCTTCTGGGTGGCCACAACGGCACAGTCGCCGCTCTTCAAAGCCACCGTGGTGATGTTCTCCTGGGAGATGGCCTTGAAGGCATACTCTGCGGGGGGATTTGGTTTAGTGGGTGAATGCAGAGGAGGCGGATTCCAGGATACTCACCCACTTGGTAGAGGCGTCCCTCTGGCGAGAAGATCGTGATGTGTCTGTCAAAGCCGGCTGAACTTCCGCGAGACATGTTGGATGCGTGCTTTTGTATTCACTTGCTTTTGGGGGAGTAGTAGACCGCTTTAATCACGAGAAAAAGACTTGTACGATAGAACTTACCGTTTAAACAATGAGAATTTACAATTTGTATACGGCTTGAAATGTCGCTTCGAAAAGTGCAAAATTCAGATTGTCATTGCTCGAGCAACCAGTGCTGCCAGACTTTCCGATTGCTGCCCACTTTCCCGTTCGTGAGCCCCAGTGATGCCAGTCTTTTAGCCGATACTTTCAGGGATCGAACTATCGATTACCGTTTAAGCTTTTGTAAAGCAGAGTTGGCAGCACTGTTGGGAAAACGAGAAGGTAAATAAATATTTGGCAATAACAAAAGTTTAAACAATTTGGGTGGCGTGTCGCCGGCTGAGAACATGCACGAAGATGACCTGAAGAGTCAATTGACCATCGCGCGGAACGAGATCAACAATTTGAGGTGCGTTTTACACAGAATCCTTGGGTCCTTGGCGGCTGTTTAAGTTCAAGTTCGTTACGTTCCGATTTCGCCTTGACCATGGTGCAGGCAGCAAGTGCGCAACCTGCAACATGTGCAGCGCAAGGACATCGAAACGATAAACCGCCTGCTGCAGGACTTCCGCTGCGAGGGATGTGCGAGCAAGAACACGGGCGTCAAGGACAAGGCCGCCGGTGAAAAGGAGACACAGGAGCTGCAGCGGGAACGGGCGCAGGAGCACGAACAAGGTCACAGCCAGGGCCAGGTGCGTTTGACCCTTCCACACACACACACACACACCCTCTCAACCAATCCTCTATCGCAGAGCAACGGAGAGGACTTCGCCCATTTTCGCCCTATCGGAGTGATACGGACGGCCTTCCCGGAGAAGCGAGCTGTCCCCAGGCAATCGATTGTGGGCAGCCGGCTAAGAGGCATCATTCAGCTAAACGACGGCGTGTTCACCAATCCGGAGCACTCGCTGGAGGGACTGGGCGACTTCTCGCATCTGTGGCTCATCTATCACTTCCACCGCAACAACGCGCACCCGAAGGCCAAGGTGGCGCCGCCGCGTCTCGGTGGTGAGCGCGTGGGGGTGTTCTCCACCCGTTCGCCGCACCGCCCGTGTCCCATTGGTTTATCTTTGGTGGAAATCGAGAAGATCGAGAATGCCACCATCAGCTTCTTTGGTACGGACATGGTGGATGGGACGCCCGTGTTGGACATTAAGCCCTACATTCCGTACTACGATGCGCCATCCCTGAGCGTAGACTCAGGTACGTTCGACGACCAGAAAGCCAGAAAGCACACTAAAGGTCTTGCTTAACCCCTTGGACAGGTCGCTCTTCAGCTGGACCGCATGAGAATAGCCTCGACTTTTACGACTCCCGGCAGGAGCCCGATGGCGAGGAGTCTGACTTGGAGCTGTATGGCGCCGCTGGTTTCTCGGGCAACTCTGGAATCGGAGCGGATGCAGTGCTGCCGCCGCCAAGCGCTGTGCGTGTGCCCAACTGGGTGGTGGCCAGCCATCGGCTGAGCGTCACCTTCAACGAGCATGCCGAGGCCCAGCTAATGGAGCTGCAGGTGGAGAAACAGTGTATCGTGGACATATTGGAGGCGGATCCGCGCTCCGTTTACTTGCGCACAAAATACGGCTCGCAGATATTCACCTTCCAGCTAAGGGAGGTCACGGTGACGTGCAAATTCGACGACAAGGCTGGCTCTGTGACTGTGGTCCAGGTTCGGCGGAATGAGAACGTGCAGGTCACTGCCTTGGACGGCGATCCGCGCACCGCTTAACTTACAAATAATTGCAATTGATATTTGTTCTTTGACAACTTGTGTTTAGCTTTTAAGTGTATCGTGTTGAGGAGCTTTAACCTTTGGCGTTTCGATTCAGGACATTCTGAAATATACATATGTTTGAGGCTTGTTTCCCACGCAAAGTGAATTGTTTTCTTTCGGCTTAAGGGTTTAAGAGTTTCAATTAAACTCTGATAACTAACTTTATAAACTTTCTGTATTTGCAGCAGCCTCATTATGGGTGATATGAGCTGGAAAGATTTTCTCACACAGGCCAAGCAATTTCTGGATATTTCCCAACAGTTGGGAGATAGTTGGATGCTGCAGGAAAAGGTTTGATTGCCAAGCTGTTTTAAATGTGAAATCTCTAAAGTGTTACCTACTTCCAGGACTCGAATGAACCCAACACCTTCCTCAAGTTTAGTCAAAAGATTAAGAGTAAAAGTGGGGAACTAATCAATGTGGAGTACCATGTGGTCTACAGTGTCTCCTATCAAGTGCCCATGCTATTTTTCCAGGCTCACAGATCGGGTAACTCAACTGGATTAAAATATATATGTATATAATTTACACATTCCTTTTACAGATGGCAGCCTCCTAGATATAGACGCCACCTGGCACTGCTTCATGCCAGAGAGTAAGGCCGGTGATCTTTACCAGATATTGACCCAAATGGACCATCCCGTGCTCTTCAAGCCCTTCATGGCCCTGCATCCCTGTCGCACCGCCGAGGTCCTGAAGCAATTCGGCCAGCCCAGTAACAATCAGGTGCTCACATTCATCAGTCTCTACGGTCCCCAGGTGCAGTTGAATCTGCAGAATGCATACGGCCTCAGCTCTCAGAGTTCATACACATAATTCGCATTTATTGGTGGTTGTTTTAAACACTGGTTATAGGAGAGTATACATTTGTGGATAATATGGCATATGTTACAGTTTTACATTCAATTCGCTACCTTATGGTGGTTTGAATAGGCTATATGGCATCATCTTGGTGCCGGCCGCATCTCTTCTAGTACTTGGCACAAGTGAAGATCCGAATTGTACAGTAGATGCGGGCAAACTGTTGTGGATTATAGTTATTATATAGCGACTACTTGGTATTTCCTGGAGCTAAACTCCATAGGTAATTCTAATTGTAAACCGAAATGCTTGAGTAAACCTACGAAAGGAACCGAGCTTTGTACACAGATTATAATTCTTCTACTTATTCGTTAAATATTACTACACGGTATATAGTTTGCAAGTTCCACTCGCTCTCTCTCTCTCTCTCGATCGTTAATTTCAAGGGTAATATCAGCTAGTAGTTACTGTTTCGGTTATTTCATAGTAATTATAGTAATACATATATATTATTAGACAGATATACGCTTAGGCCTAGTTGTACTGTACACAAGCCCGGCCTCAGTGGAGCCGCTTTGCTTTGCATTTTACTAATGTTAAGTGGTTCATTTATAATTAATGTTAACTGGCTACTGTGTGGCATCAGCGGCACCCCAAGCGCCAACACAAAGTCCTCTCTAGGACCTGTGGGCGAGAGGAATCGCATTGAAAATGTTTATTTGCAAAATTAAATTGATTTTATGTAATAACTTGGGTTTTGCAATTGTAATCCCACTCAAGACACATTCACGTACATTGATATAATAGGCTTCCTATGGACAGGTTGATTCTGAAGTGCTAAAACGATTGGTAGTTGTGTGGGTAGTGTCAGGATTGGGGATAAACTCAATGGTATCTGAAAAAAGCAGTATTGTCTCCTCTAAACTATAGTGAAGATAGCTTTAAATATTTTGATTTGGGAACTACTGATTTATCTGAACTACTTAGCAAAAATGGGACTAATGATCTTCCTACGCCGATTTAGCTTCATTCATTATTTTGTTAACAAAACATGTTGGTTATAGGATTTATATCGGGATTATGTGTTTTTGCCTTTTTAAAAGAATTTTGTTAGTTTTTTTTTGGAATTGTTATACAAGGACTCTTACAATTTATATTATTATGCTTATATATAATCTAAATATATTTTTGGGTTATACATGTGTACCATTCAACAAACCATATTATTTGGCATAATATTTTGCACTGTTTCCTGCTTTACTAAGGTTTCAATTTACATTCGAACGAAAGAACCTTTGCTTATTTACTTGAAATGCAATAGAGAACCGAATAAATCTATGTGGAATGTTTGTTTTCATTGTGAAAATTGCATTTGGTGGGTATACTGGGGCCCCTCCCTTTGACTTTTCATAGGAAACGTGGCCGTTTTGGTGTTGTATTGGTTAAAAATGTACATATCCTTGTTCCGACTGTGAGTATTGTTGTATTTGCGAAAGGACCTTAGTGGCATTTTACATACATATATATATGATTATATGAAATATACACGTTCATAGTATTATTTAGCATCCGGTTCTTGTCATCGCCATATATGCACTCATATATATATAAAATTTCGTTTAAAGCTGCACCATTTAGTTGACATTTGCATATCAAGTTACATTTGATTTCACTATATGTACAATATACACGGTAAAAAATAAGAAGTAAAGTTGCTAGATCTGCGCCCAGCGGTGGCGAGTGCTGCCCAAATGCAATCTCTGACAAGCGGAAATCGTGATATGTTTTCGGGTATATAGTTCTTCGATCCAAGCAGCACCCCCCACACACGGCACGGCGAGATGACGGAATAAATTACTTAGCCTAATGCATAAAATTCGCACTACAATGCTGCCTAGTTGTGGTTTCCTCTGGTTGTTTGTTTGGTTTAGTTGTTGGTCTCATTTCAGTTGCATCATTGGACATTTTTCGCTATATGTTATCGCTCTCTAAAGTGTTCTTAAAATATTCTGTGGCACGCGAGTAACTGTACACCTAAAGCTTCGCAAGGTTAACACTGAGTTGATCTCGTACAGCCTGCTCCGCACTCGGATCCCATTGGAATGGACTAGACTGGGTTGTATATTTGGCTACACTAAACACTAAATATAAAGCTCTGTAACTCACTCGACACACATATATGTATGTATATACGCACATCGGAGGGGAAGCCTTAACCTAGGGTAAACGAATTCGATGCTATCGATGCGGCTGGATTGGGACTAAAGCTATTGGTGCTAGGCTATGTTATGGACGGTGGTGCTCCTAGTGACGATCCGAAAGTCATCGTCCAGCTCATCGGCGGACTCGGGCGGCGGCCGGCCCATGAAGTCGCTCGATGCGCTGCGCCTGAATCAGCTGCACAGCAGATTGAAGAACCCGCGTCCCTTCTCCGATCGCGGTGCCATCAGCATGGGCACCTGGTTCTTGTGGGTCACCTTGATCTGTGGGTGGGGGAGGAATATATTCTAAAGAAATTGAAGATAGCGAAAGCTAAATAAACAACTCACCGTGCACGGCATCTGCATCCAGGGCTCTCCGTCGATTTGCATGGGAAACGTCTTCTTTGTCTTGATGATCACCTCGCTGCACTGGGCCAGGCGACGACCGGAGGCTCGCAGGCCGGTTCTTACTTGGCCCATGTGCAGGCAGTTCTCCAGACCAATCACCTCGATCAGGCGGTCGCCTATATCTGAAAAATAAAGGAAATGTTAGTAATTTCAACAAAACATAAGGAATAAAATGTGTAAAGTTGTTGATTTTAATTATATATAATTAAAATTAATTATTATATAATTATATTATATTTTCTTTAATAAGATAATTATTCCCTAAAATATAAAGAGACTCACCTTGTATGGCCACCGACAGATCCACAGAATTAAAGCTGGTGGCAGAGAATTCCTTGTCGCCCGCCCGTAGCTTCTTGCTCTTGCCAAAGGGGCCGGCGCTCTTGCGAATCCGCTTCTGGGATAGATGCTCGCCCCATAGGTTGGAGCCGCCATGCGTATATGGGATGTTGAGCAGAGCCACACCCTGGAGGTGGGGTCCGTTGGCCAGGTCCAGGGCCACACCATCGCACTGCAAATATGGAGCGAAGGTTACACGCTGCGTACGTTCATAAATCACGGATGACGGCTCTGGCCTGCCCCCAGTTTTCCACCCAATTTCCCCTGCAGTTATATTCAGTTTTCCAGGCCACATTTTCCTACCCACTTACCACAATCTCGATGCTCTCGTGGAGATTCTTGCAGGATGCCGCGAATGTCTCGGACGTTGCATATTCGAAGTACCAGAGCTTGTTCTTCATCCGGCTGTTGAATTTGTGCGGGTTCTTTTCCCGCTCCAAGTGAAACTTGACGCAGATGGCGGCGTCCTGGGGAAGAGAAAAGCAGTTCGGTATAAGAGCAAGGCCAGGAAAAAGTTCAACTACGGAGCTGGCCATTCAGGGTCACGTTCGGGTACTGCACTTCGCATTCAGGCGTTCCGAGAAATCTCAATTAGATTGACACCTCTTCGCCGTGGCTGCCATGGCAAAGTGCTTCGATTGGCCCGGCCGCAGGAATGCCAATTAATGTTGTGGCCAAAGTAAGATGAGACACCTAATTTGTATTAAGAAAAGGCGAACAGGCAAAGCTCCTTATCTCAGTGCAGCGGCAACTATACAGGGAAGTTGAAGAAACTTGGAGTGCCGAGGAGGATACTTCGAGTTCAAGTCTTGGTAATTTTATTCAAAGGAAGCACTGATTTAGAGCAAGTACCTGAGTTACTTAATTTAATTATTATTATAAATTTATGTATCGCCATCGTATTTTCATAATTTAAACAATTAAAGACAAATTCTTTAATATAATAAACAGGGATCATACTTAAGTTGTATTTAATTTTTAACATCAAATAAACGCTTTTATATTTCCTTTAACTTTATATAGACATTTTAAGTCCCATAAATTCATTCAGGCTTTAAAGAATCGTTTAATTTTAATACTTTAATAATTTCCAGGGCAAGAATCTCCTTAAAACCCCATTAAATAATTATTTGCCCACACAAATGTACACGTTTTTATACCTTCAATTTCTTTTATCAGGACAAGGACCCTTTTAATAAGCTATTCCACAATTAATTGCTACTTTCCACACCGCAAATGTTAACATGTTCAGCTCACGTGCCGGGGTCCTGCCGCAAAGGTGTTTGTTTTACAGAGCCCCAGGCAACAGGACTGAGTTTCACGATGGCAGGAAGCACGGAGGATGCTTATCGGACTGGAGGCTGCATTTTAATTCCTTATTATTCGGTTGCGTGCCAACGTTGCGCATACGACACGTTGCGCTTACAGGCAACAGGACATTTGTTATGCATGCCGCTCGGCAAACACACATACACGGCTTTGGCCTGGTCCGGACCGGATGCAGGGCCGCCAGCCACCACCACCACTACCACGTGGCTGCAGGACTTTCAATTACGACCCGTCGGTCGCCTTGGTTGCACAGCAGAGCAAATAAGATTTATTACCGCTCGACGTCAAATTGAATTGTCAACATGAGCGAGCGCCTGCCAGCGCTTAAAATCGAAAAATCGTCGAAAAACTTTTTAATTAGTCTCAGCCGCATGCCGCCAGCCTCCTCCTCGATCCGCGATGTCACTCTAACTTTATGCATGGCCTGTGCGGTAAACTAATTTAGTGACAGCCGCCCGGCTTATTAGCATGCCTCGACCGCACCATACCTATTAGTCAAGGGGCATGGGCCTGGGCATGGGTATGGCCATGGGACAGGCTTGCTGACAGCTTGTTTGCATTGCGGAAAGTTCGCCGGCCCAAGTTGGGCTCGAAATTTGATTGGCTTCAAAATGGGCTAGGGGGCTGGTGGCTGTGAGGTGAGACGCTAATGAAATAATTTGTATACACCCAAAAAAGCCGGGGAAATCTGAGATCCCAGCTCACCTAGATAAGTAAGGCGGCAGACTCTTTATTGCCACGAGGCGT